GTTTCGGATCCTTTAGGATCTAATGTAAAAAGATTTCGGTCGAATTTATTGTCGTCAAGATATTTCATCCAAATGTCCCAGTCATCAGCCTTCGGAGAGTTTGTGTAGAATGCGAATAGAAACTGCGACAACACAGAAGCAAGCCACGTTCAATGGCAGGAGTTCGGACATCCTTTAACCAGTTCGCATCTACCTCTTTAGTTGGGCAAATTAACTGAGCAAGGGGAACCTAATGAGTGTTGTGCATGAGACTCGGAGGGCGGAAGTTCTCAGTTAATTGAGTTTAATGCAATTCTGAAACATAAAAAGCAGGTTCTGAATGAATTTGTTCCGAATCTTGCAACTTTTAGAATCATGTGACACAGACAGTCTACAGTATCGAGAGTAGGCCTATGTGCCTGGTGTGAAAGTTGATGTAGGCCACTCGAGTCTCCTTGTAGGAACTCGGAAAAGATAGGGTGAAAGAACTTCTCAACCACATGATACGGAGTGTAGACCGATCGATTGGTGGACGGGCTTCTAGTGTGAAAAGTTTTCTGCTGTTTCTCCACAAATTATCATCACGCGATCTCTTTACGATGCGACTAAATAACTAACTAACGGGTGGAGTCGATAGGTCGGGGTGGCTGAAACCATGTGTTTTCAAACTCTTAGGCAAAATACTTAGGTTTGACGTCAAATACTAATGGCATTTTTCTTTACACTTCGTCCGAGTTGTTTATTCACGGTTGCTATGCCCACATTGTCAAACAGTCGATACTTTCTTTCACAATCTGAATGGATGTGATAAGCGTTCCTTTATGAATGACTTCAAGTGTGGCGGTACGATTACCTGACAGCTTAATTTTTTCTGGCCTGTTGTCTGTCTCGTACACCCTAATGTATCCGTTCATTGTTGTGGGGTATCTGGTTCAACAGGCGTTGCCAATTCTTTAAAATGTTCTTGCTTTGTTGATGTTTTGAATTACTTTTCGATTCTTTCCACAAAAACTTCCCCGTATTTGCTCACAGGTTGATGAATGCACTTGACACGACAAGGATTTTTTACTATATTTTTTTCCAAACCCGTTGATGTCAAGTAAAGATATTTGTCAGTTCATGATAATGCCTTCCTAGCGGACAGCATTTCTGCATGAATATTTATTCCTTGCGATGGTGACGATGGCAAAATCCAACGTTTCCACCTTTGACACGTTTGACACTGCAACAGTAACGCCTTTTCTTTTTTTGATCCAAAAGGTTCTTTGTTAGCAGTAAATACTTCTTTCAATAAAGTGTGAGATCCCCGATCAGAGGGAACTTAGTTTGGATTTCTTCCATTCGATTGTTAAGGTTCCCAATATGGGGTTTGAATCATGCCTGGATTCGACGGTCCCGAATATCAAAAGGAAGACTTCGGTTTGTCAACCCCACGCATGACTCAAATTTACGTTTTGTAGACCCAAATATGGATAACCGTCCACTCGGTTGGCTTCGCAGTTGACCCTAGCCGACCAGGGAACGTGTAAATTTGTTTAACTGTCATCATTTAGATGATGACTTTGAAAATTGTGTTCAAACGCTTTGCATCACGTGATGAGAGACTATCTTTGTAAGCTCACAGAGAGCGACCAGTGTTTCTTCATCCTGAAGCTTACAAACAAATTGGTGTGCAAACGTGTTAATTCCTTGTTATTGCCGGTGAGTAGAAGCACCATGTTAAAATATACCGGGGGCCTAAATTGATTCTTGCTAAAGACCGTTGTTTCATACCAAAATGGAGAACTGCACGGTGGGGTTCCGATGATAAAACGTCGTGAAAGCCAGGAAGAATGTTTTCATTTGATTCCATGACGAGTTAGCTGTAGATTGATAAAAAAATCGGGATTCCCTGTAAAATTTAGTCACAGTGTGATACCAGCATCTTGTTGGGTTTCCAGATGTATTTCAATTTGGTTTTGTATGCCTCTCTTCCTACTGTTAACCACGTGTGACTGTACGAGTACCCCAACTTACCAAATTCATTTCGCTTTGATCAAGCAGCTAGCTAAACAGGTTTGAATGAAATTTGTTTGGTCTAAAAACCACAGAAATTTCTACCACCAGTCGTTTTAGCTGTCAGTACACTTAATCATTATTTAGGCCACAGTAGGCAAGAATCGATACCGCATGTCCGCAGTTTCGAATTCGTCTGTGGGAGTATAGCGTACGACTGCCGTGTGTTATCCCCCTGTTACTCCTACGTACCGCCCCCGTTACAACTGTGTTCTATGTATATTTTGATCACACTGCTAATTAGCGGCTTTTGACGGAGATGTGTAGGGTCTGGCTACCAACAGGAAGGGCGGCGAAATAATGTGGAATATTTCAGTGGAGCGGATAGTTCAGGGAAAAACGTGGTCACATTTGATTCAGACGGGTTTTTGTGTTACAAAGCGACTTAATTTGGTGAGTACTGAAGACTGGTGGTTGGACATTTGTGGACTGGTTATGTCATCAATGATAAACATAGAGTCCTGAGGATTCGCTTGAACAAGTCCTATCGTATTCAATATTAAAATAGTGAAGTGATGCAAGTAGTACATCACTGGCCAAGATTTTTTGTCTATCAATTAGACATCTGAACCGTGCCAGATGATAAGTACTGATGAGCACAATTCTTTGAATGGCTTGCGATTGGTCTGCTCAGGGTATGGGTTGGAGTAGTTCAGCGGACTTTATGCACTACATTCTGAACAATTTGGTATCAATCCAAATAATATATGAGGATGGTGTAGATTTTTAGCGTGTATTGTGTATTGTTTAGTGGTTGAATAGACGAAGTGAGTCTTCTGTGCCCAAAGTGGTTGAGCCATGTTGGACAGCATAGTCGTTCAGCTGTAACAACCTTACGGTGGTCAGATGCCATGCCACCCCCCCCCCCCCGATAGGGCTGGGATACTGCCAGGCTGCCCGATCCTAGAAAAGAGAAGTCGAGGTGCGGAAGTTGGGTTCGAATCACGGACCTTCCCGTCAGTAAATTCGCACTCTAACCTCTGAGCCACCTCGCCCTCATGTGGTAACAAGAATACCATTGACAGTGATATAAATTGCCAACTCTACCTACCTTGTTCAGCTGTAGCACCCTTTCGGTGCCCAAATGACATGTCATCAGAAGGAAGCACGGGGGCTAAGATACTGCCAGGTTGCCCAAGTCTAGACAGAGGCCGGGTTCGAACCACGGACATTCTGGTCAGTAGATTTGCGCTGTAACCACTTGAGCCATCTCGTCCCCCACTCTAAGTGAACATACTTCCCTCTTTGCGCCACGAACTGGGTTATATTCTTCAGAAACGTGCGTAGATCGGTGTTCGCATATGAAACGTTAGCAACACAAGTCACTCAGTAGCATACTGTAGCTCCAAAAATATGTAATAATTTATTTACTGTGAAATTTATATGGATTATATAGATATTATCTAAGTGTCCAGCTCATCTCGAGTTCAAATACGCAGGAATAGGGGTTGTCCCGTTTAACCAGGGAGGACAATATCGGCGGTCACTGCACTTCATTCACTGTCGACTGCGATTAAACACCGTTTGTTTTCTAACTGCAATTTTGTGGGTATAAGAACCATTGGTTTGGTCTAATTCCCGTCTGAAAATCGGTTGGGAAAATACAATCTCCATTGGTCCCCATTATTTTGTAGACTCCAGTACCAAGGCAACACGGGTGGGGCACATTCTGTTTGATAGACAAATTCGTAACACATTCATATTCCACCATATTTTGTCAAATTCAACTAATAATACAACTGTTGCAGACGGTTAGTGATGAAATGCCACTAACTAGGCCTATGTAGTAGGAGATGGTTGTGCGCAGAACAGATTATTGCATGTGTTTGTGGTGAACTAACCAAAACTTCAATGCATTCATGGATGGAGTTCAAACAAACAAAACCATTTGAGGCAGTGGCATAGGTGACCGAATGCGTGATAGGATGATAGAGTGGCGACAATGCCTGAGATGTGCAAAGCGCTTGGTGGATGACTTGGCGAAATAGAAGTTAAAACAGTAAGCTGTGTTTAAAGGTCAGCATTCACTTTTCCGTTTACCTAATTGGCCTTATCGACCTAGATGTAAATCCTTTTTAAAGTACGATGGACAACTGAGTTCAGCATAAGGTAGACTCATCCACATGATGCTTCTTGGTGTCGTGTACAATGCAAAATTTGGATATGTGGGTGGATGACGAACACACTCGCCTTCCTTCCGTTAAGCTGACCTTGGCACGTGGTTTGAACATTTTGGACTAGTAATCTTCTCAAGTTATGCTGACAGAGTAGAGCCTCATTCAGGTTCTATCGAGCAATGATTCCGAATGCTGATTTCGTGCTACTGCACCGACTCCCTGCACGAACAAAGTGATCGAAAGTTCTTATAATCCCTAATGTAAAACCTGTGACAAATGAGTTCACAGTGGGCACTACGTAGTTAACAAACACCAAACATACGCGAGGTCACTGGCTGAAATTCATATTCAACTGTGACGACTGCTGTTTGAAGTTTCCGCTCGCTCACTTAATCTAAACACTGTCCGACATCAAGAGTAGTGAAGCTCTGGAATAAGGCAACTATGACGCGATAGGAAAACGGATCTGAAAACACACTCACAACCATCAGAAATGCGGGTAACAGCAAGAAAACAGCAATCCCAGATACATCTGTACCAATGTTCATTGTGAAATTGTTGGATACGAGTGCGGCAAAGCACTTATCCATAGCCAGGAAGCCTTCTATTCCAGCTCCCATTCCGGTTGAGGTCGACAACAAAGACTTAACTGTTGCTCAACCCATACCGCCCCGGTTACCAAGTTATGACAAAATGTCACAAAACACTGTTCAGTAGTGTTAAATGTGCTGGAGTTCTCGTCTGATGCGTCAGACAACCATATAAATTTGTCTTGACTTTTTTCAGAAACACACCCATACCCGACACCACTCCAACGTCCTTGCGTGCCAAAGCCGAATGACACCTTGAATGAGAAAAATTGAGGCTGCACCTTCCAGAACTCTGGTAGTAGTGTTTCCTACCTTGGAAGAGGAACTAACCACAAACGAACACAAGCAGTGCCGCAGAGGCCGAAAGAATTCAATCCTTCCTGACCTTGCTCCAGGAGACAACCAAAATCAGAGTCAAAAAACAGCAGCTAAAGGTGAGGCAAACTTACTTACCCGGGATTTTCAGGTAGTTCGCTAAAGGCCACGAATACGTTGCGCTTCAATGTTACGGACACCACTGACCTTACCGACGACCTCAGCGGAGAATCTGCAGACTGCATAGAGGCTGTGAGTAATGACTGTTTTGGCGAAATTACCGTGCTCACGCCCTACCGGGTGTCACGTGCCAGCTTACTGAGTTAAAGATCTGTTCGCCCCAAACTTTGCTATAGTTATAGAATTGACGTTGCCGTGGATGAAAAGTGGCGCGTCTGACTCTGAAGTCCACCTAGAGGGCTTTAATGTGTTTCGGTATAGTCGCGCATTCATTAATAAAGCAGTGTTACAGCGTCAGCCTCCTATGCAGACCTTGAGATGAAGACGGAGTTTACAAGAATGCATGGTGCACTATCAACTTCCTATATCACAACTGCCGTTGCTGCGCCATTCAAAGGCCATTGCCTCATCCTAGGAGATTCTGATGCTCCCGCCATCGGCTGGTGTACAAGCACCTCCGCTTTGGAGGTGACACATTCAACTGTAAAAATCACATGACGACGTTTTATATCAGCGAGTGCAGGGAATCACCAAATCAACAAGGGAATTACTCAATATACCTGATCTAATGCTCCCATTAGCGAAAATCGGAAGCTTGTTATCTCGGCACATTGACTTTTTTGGCAGTAGCGGTCACGGGTTGATAAGGTTTCGACGAGACCTTTGGAACCAAGTAGCAAGAATGTTCCCACATGAAGTATTATTTTCGAAGAGACAAAAACAGCCGCCGACCTTGTAAAACCACACAGATGTGAGTGGTCTTTGAGAACATAAAAATAAATCTGATCAAACACAACCGAACTCCAGAGTACCAATCCTAAACGCAGCACAAATCAGAAAAATTCCCTGAGAACTTGATCGCATCTAACATTACTGTAAAGGAACGCAAGAAAGTCATAACTAATGCAGACAAATACAAAATCTTTATACGGCTGTGATGATGATCAAGCGTAGAGGTGTCAGAAAGAATATCGCATTTGGATGGGAGGCAACAGCGAAACGTTTATTTGTCTAATTTGGCAAACGCACCAACTATCTTCTATCAACAAGGGGATTGCAAGTCTAATGGCGACAAAGCAGAGGCATTTACTGACCACTAGACATTTATATACACCTTGAAAAACACGCGTTGACTAGTAGTTTCAGCTTGCAAACGTTGGTCGGGCGGAACACTTCTAAAGAAGACGTACTCAAGATTTCATAGTTGACAAGCCTTCACAAATCCCCTGAATCTGACAGCAACTACCGTTTGTATTCACGAAACTAGTGGAAGCATCCACCAGCCTACTCAAACAGCTGTTTACACTTTCTCTTTGGGAGCGACAGTGACAATCCAGTGGGATCGAAATATTCATATTTGGAATCGAAGGCGTTGAGGTGAGATCCTAGCCGGTGAATTGTAAGGTTCATGTTTCGCGATATCGTTCAGAGAACCATAAGTGTTTATGTGCATTTCATTTGGCAAAGTACACATTGTTGCATGCCGACATCATGGGTATCGATAGAGTTACTCCAGTCGAACCAAGACTTCGGTCGAAATCAGTGCCTCCGGATATTGTAATCCTCGTTTTCGGCGGTAAAGTTTTTGTCAAATTTCCTCTAGAACGTTGCTAACGAAGCCAAAGAAGATTGGAGACAATATTCTACGATGGATCTCAAATTTTCTTTTTGGATGACAGCTTTCTATCGAAGTTGGAGAAGACCTGTCTTCAAAAATACTTTGTTTACAGCGGCGCTCCGCAAGCACCCTTCCTCGGTCCTTCACTGCTTTGAGTCTATAGTAGAGGTCTCCTTACACACCCGGTTCACACGTTTGACCTGGGCAGATAACAAAAAGCTGTGAGCTTTTTTTGCCGTAGCAGTGCGTCAAAACTTTCTCAGGAAGAACTGCACTGTTTCATGATGTAACCTGGAAATGAGGCACACCTGTAACTATGAAGAACGACCTGTGTCTGTATGTCGACAGCGAGGCCAACATCAGTGCCTTCTACCTAAATGAGATGCTACGTAGGTTATCGCAGTGCAAAAGAGACCTTGAGGTTATGATTTCAACTGCCGTCAAGGTGAAGGTCTAACATAAATCTGATTTGTTTTTCGTCTTCGGGTATACTTGCCTGCGTGGGTGTTTACTTAAGCTAGCCTATTCCGAGGAACTTTCAAATTTCCTGTGCCCTACATCTGCGTCCATGTCTGGGGAAGGAAATAGAACATTTACGTACATAAAAAGAATTACGTCGAATAAAAAAGTACAAAGAGACGCAATAGGTCTAGTAGATGGGTTATAGAATGGTGATTAGGAAGACAGGTTGGAGTTCCAGAATCAGTGTTGTAAATGCGCTGAAAGTGGCTTGGCCATGATCAGACGAGTAATACGAGGAAACTTTGGAATCAAAATGTCAGTCGATTTGCCACCGCGCAACAACTGACGTTTGACTCTCTAGAATCAGGGCATCTGGAGGCTCTCCGCGACTTCCAGGTCATCAAGCAGGTTGTCAAATACCTGGAACTCTCTACCAGCTATCGTGGTAGAAGTGATTGGCAACGATAGTCTCCAATACGGATCGAGTGATATTCTGAGGTATTTGGCTCCAGCAGTGACTGCTAGCAAACACTGTCGATTAAGAAGACGCGAACAAAGCGGTTTTTCCAACTGTTCTCCACAACCTGAATACTGCATACCGGATACACTGGACAGAAGGCTCTGAATGTGGCAAATTACTTTCGATGAATAAATTCGATGGAACAAACACGAAGCAAGTTAAGAAACGAATCTATGAGAACAGCCAACCTAGAGTCACATCATCCGCATTCGTCTGTCAATAAATATGTGGGCGTCATTAGCCTATCGCGCAAGAGTCATCTGAGACGTCACTCAGTGTAGCCCTACGAACTACTTATTCCCTTTTCAGTAACTGGGTTCACTCGTCTGTCTGAATAAACTTACCCTGTTCGGTCGTTTCATCTGTTCTCATTTAGAATTAGCGGTTTCTAAACTGGTGAATAGAAAGTGACATAATCTCACGATTCGAAGTTTGTAAAGTTTTATTATTTTATCATTTAATTTTTTGATGAGCCTTCACTCGTTCGTTTTGATTTTTCGAGTTTTTCGCGTAACTCAATAGATACTTTGTGACTTTATCTACAAGCATCACGGTTCCAATCTCACATTTTTCTGGTTCATTTGACAAAGAGTTTTCTCGTGTGGTGAGAGAAAGTAGACTTTGCAAACTTTTTAGTGGTTGGCGACGCATTCTCCTCTTTTGCTTGCGCACGATTTAGAGGGAGCATTAAGGATACGAACGTTTACAACGTACGAGCCTTCTATCATCCCAATGCATTCCAAATGTTTATATGTCGAAGCGATCATTTCACATTTACTGGGCAGATTGACGTCTCTAACCAGGTCCCTCACCAATTTGCGTGATGAGCAACCTTGCTAGGATTCTACAGCATGCGCTGCACTGGAGTCGGCTTCCCACCTTGTCGTGCAACGTTTCAAATCATGTCCAAGCAGGAATATGTGGGCCACAGCCAAGAGGTCCCAGAGATCCCACGGCAGTCAGTAAGGCTGTAGTCACTTTTATTTCACAGACCACCCCCCGAGAAGCTTTCGTCAACAATGACTTGGGACAAAAAAAACGCTTTCTTGAGTAGACGGCGGTTGGTCATATGCAATAATTGCTCCAACGATATTAGACCGCCATTCTAACTGTCCTTATTGTTTACCTGCTTGCACACCAATTTACTGCTTACTGTCTTCAGCTGCCTCATACTTGCGATGCTCAAAATTTTGGAGACTTCTAATGTTCTAGGGTTGGGAGGGGGCTTAGCTGAGTCGTAGCTAAATCTCTCTTTCACGTTGAAGAATTTTGAGAAACCTTGTGTTCCGTCAATATCTTTAATATCATACCGATTGAAGCGCGAGAAAGCCTTTCGGTTGAAAGATATCGTAGAAGAGTGATTCAGCTTGGATTTTGTTGAGTTCCAAGTAAAAACCAGCTTAATCTGTAACTGAGATTATATCGTTATTTGGAATCATTTTTAAACCTTTGTTAATCGTAAATTAAAGAATATCCCTAACTTAAATCTTCCATCGTCTGCTTGCCTGAAAGGTATTGTTGTTAGCACATAGCTCATTTGTGCTCCAAGCTTCAGTGAGTATTAGACCTAACCACAGTGTATTTTCCCCATTCCAATTTTTTTCCAAATTACCTGGAAGACAAAAGTTATGGGACGATAGTGCCTTTATTGGAACCGAATAGCCAGGGAGTCAGGTCGAATGGTTTCATTGTTGTGAATTTTTGAACAGACTTAGCTTCATAATTCAAACTACATAAAAGTGTAGTTAGGTACAACATTCAAATGGGAACAGCATGGATGTGATTTACAAATTTTTGTGTCAATTCCCTCGTGGAATATGGCAAGGTCAGATTATGTCAGTCACTGCTTCACTGACCAGTAGAATTCAGGCGTACCGTTGCCGTCGATATGGATTTCGAAATCTGGAACAAAATATCCACTGAAATAGGAAAAGTCCGGTTTTTCTATCGATTCGATATGCGTAGCTGGGTATAGTTGAACAAGGTTTCTCTAGCTGTAAAACGAAAATGAACGGGATTTAACCTCAAAATAGACCACAATCCTTCAAATTGGATTTGATTATCACATCGATGACCGCGTCAAAGACAACTTGAATATTGTTCGTGTCGGTTGCACACGTGAAGTGCGTATAGATGGTTTTTGTGGCCTTTCGTCTGTTCAGTTCTTCGAATTTGCTTCTAATGTAGGACGAGGTTTCCTCAAATGTTTGCGATCCAGTGTATTCGGGGAAACAGATTGTTAACGGAGACGTTTTGATCTTTTCCAGAAACAAATCCTTCTTGTTCAGAAACAGAATGACGCTAGTTTCCACAAACCACTGACTATTACAAATAGATTCAAACAATCGCAGAGATTCATGCATCCGATTGGTGGTTTGATCTTCGGCCAATTTCAGATCGTATTCGGACATTGCCACAACAAATAGGATGGCAGTAACACCTTCGAAGCAGTGCATCCACTTCTTGCGTTCTGAACGTTGCCCACCTAAAGAAGATTCAAAAAAGGGTTTTAAAACGCGTTGCCAGAGTCAGCTGGCGTTAGAGAACGTTCGTCTTCTATTACGATTCATACAAAACTATAGGTAGAAACGACTAGCGGGGGGTATAATTTTAAGCTAAAACAGCCGCCAGCCAAGTAAATGAGGAATTGCTCTTGATGAAAATGGATGAGATGGCGATCGTAAAGAAGATCCGATTTTGCTCTTCTTGGTTCGTATCAGTCTCTCAACAGCGGCTGAAAGTGAAATAGAAATTCTACTCAATTTTCGTGAGGTCTCGTGACTCAGAGATGGAGCTGCTTCATCCTTGACAAAAAGTTGTTTTAAACACAATTGGATTGCTGTGGTGTCCTTTGACTGCCGAAATGACCTTACTGTCTTACAACAATGCAAACGTTGCGTACGTTTGACGTGATTGAAGCTGTTCAGCAGCCATCATTATGTGGCCCGAAATAAGCCCTAGACTTCCGAATTATTACAATGCGCAAGCGTGAATACTTCGTGCGACAGGCACTAGGGTAACGGAGATGACTGTTTGAGTGCCTCTCCAACATACGTCTTGGAACACTCGAGAAACCTACTTTATTAGTAAACTTGTAAGTAGAAAACACATTTCTACAGGGGCTAACAGTCTGCGGGCATCAAATCTCTGGAAATACCAGTGGTCTTGAGACCAAAAACATCAGTGTCTTTTTATACACCCCCTATTTTCAGATACACTCATTCAAGAGATAGCGCATTTACCTGCATTTACCTGAACAAAAATGACGAATTTCGGTCAAATTAAGCATTCGAAAATGAAGAAAGTTAGCAAAGATGAGAACAGAGGTGAACTAACTTGTGATTCCGTTTACTTCGAAGTAAGAGAACCAAACAGTAAATCCATCAGCCTAATACGGGTTCTCTTCTCTACGTAGGAGTTTTAAACCAAATGCCCGCAATGAGGACAGAATCACGAGATGCGGACTTCGGATATCTTGTTACAACCTAATATTCCAATACAGACACCCGAGTTGAACAATATGATCCGTAAATAGTCTGTTTTGCTTCAAGTGTATTTATTTTGTAGACTATCTGGATGTTTATACCAGGGAGGTCAGGGAAATCTACCGAGACTCTCAGCCCCGGTAAATGTTGACCAGACAGACAACACCCCCTGAACATGCAGCGCGTCACTGCTTTGTATCAAACCCAGTCAGCGCAAGTCAGCGTTGATCAAGGTCAGACACCGCCCCCGCAATATGCAGTGCGTCACAGCCCCGTACCAAAGCCAGACCGCGTGCGTCAGCATTGGACCAAGTTCAGACAGTCCCTCCAATAAATAGCTTCAGGCCGTCGTACATTCGCACTCACATGTACTCACGCACTCGCACTTGCTTGTTAGGAATATAGCTATTATGTTCCCTTCTGTGAGTCTTTTTTTTGGTAGTAGGCACTAGAGTAGGTTCAGCAGTCAGATAACACAGAGTGGCGAATAAGCAGGTATAACAGTTTATTTTGCAATGGCACCACATTGATGCACTCACATACTGGCAGATTGTCTGTGGAGCTAAACTAACTGCTCCTATGCGAGAACCAATTAAATGATGTGATTCACGTGTTGTATCCATAGCTAGAGTATACCAAGATGGATAGGTGAAAAATCTGAATAGTAATTTAAGGTGACAAATTACGGCTACTTACAGAGTAAAAACAAAAGTGGTATCATCCTTCTACAAGATTTTCTTGAAAGACAGCTAAACAGTAGGTCGCCCAGCTCAGAACTCGTCCTGCTTCCCGCTCAGCAGGTAGGCTTAGTCCTCCAGTTGCCGTCAACCTTGAGGTCTGTTTGGACTCAAACCACTTGTAAATAGAAGACACAACTGAATTCAAGCTGAATCTCGTTTGGTTCATTTTTCAGCTTCGTTTCCAACAGAATAAGGTCAACCTTGAGGTCTGTTTGGACTCAAACTACTTGTAAATAAAAGACACAACTGAATTCAGGTTGAATCTCGTTTGGTTCATTCTTCAGCTTCGTTTCCAACAGAATAACTTACTCATGTTCCAAATAGTAGAATATCCAAGGTACTTCAGTATGTTTTATTAGCGGCACGCTACCCATGAGGCTGACTGAAACCCATTGTAGGGTATCGAAATATTTTTAGAAACCTTGTGAGTATCAGACTTTGAGATCTCGAATATTATCCCAGCTGACACACCGACTGGCCTTTGTTCGGCATTTTTAGTTGGAGAATCCCATAAACAAGAATTTCGGCTGATGTTCATTTGAGACTCCCACGTAAAGACCTGATAGTTTGCAAATAAACTTAGTTCATGCACCAACAAGATTCGTCTGAAGACAATGTTCTACTTGCATCAGATTTGGTCTTTCTTAATCATTGGCTGATAGACCACATAACTAGAGCAAGTGAAACAGTGATTAATTTGTGAATTATGGAACGGCGAAGTCAAATAACATTTTATCCGTAACTCAACTGAATCTATCGTTTTTGATGTTTCCGGGAAGCTGAATGTGCTGCACCAGGCAGCCTCATGTTTCAGCTGTTACGATATCCTAGATATCGCGATACTTGTAAAGATGTAATACAATGCTCATAAGGTTACTGAGAACTCTTCGACAGTTCACGACAGGTTTCGCCCTCTTCCAGTTTGGGCTCATCAGGTAGGCGCAGTCCCCGAGTTTCCGTCAACCTTATGTTCTACTTGAAACCAAAGTGCACGAACTTAGCGAAGTATACTTATTTGCAGGAGATACATCTGGAACCCAGGTGAATCTCTTGTTTGTGATGTTTCTAGGCAAACCAATCCATATAATCGCTTCGGCTATCTTGCGGTATCAAACATTCGTGTATTCCGACAACATCTTGCGAGAGGAGCACCGAATGTTTAAGCGCTACTTTATTCGACATAAACGGTAAGGAAGTTCAAAGAAAGTTTGGACAAAAGACCTTCAAACTAGAGCAGTTCCGGTGAAGGAGGAACAGTGTGACAGTCATGATAAATTTATCGCAACGGGAGTTGCAAAACATTTGAATTAGAACCTTAACTATCAAAAAGGAATGCTTCGAAGGGAGGCAATATTTGTGACGAGCGGATCATGAGGCGTATTCACAAAGCTTTTGGTCAAAACGACATGAAAAGCTAGCCGAGTGCGAGAAGCTGCGGCGGAAATTTACTGCGGTATCTCGAAAATCGTTCTAAACTGAACATTAGGTGGCCCCATGCAACATATTTACTTAAAGAATATGTTGGCGAAAGATTAGATGGATCTCAGTTGCTCGCAACGTCATCCTAACTTGCAAAGTGGTTTCATGCTGGAAGCAACAATCCACAGTTGAAAAAGAATTCTTGACATGTAAGGATGAAAACCTTGTGGTCGCACTATGAGAAGTGCTGGAATCGCGCTGTTTGTTCTCGGAAATTTGACCTCAGCGACTACCAGATTTGGAGATTAGTAAAAAGTGGAAAATAAGTCAAGAAAGTGAAACATCGTGTGATCCTGTTCCTGAGGTGCAGAACACCTGAAAAGAGGGGCTGTACTTGTAGTCGGAAAGGGCACTAACCTTGTATTTTTCAAAATTTACACGCGAGAGGAAGAAACTGCAAATCTTTATAAATAATATGATATATTTTTATCTACTGCACCAGTCATTCATACAATGTTCTTCGATTTCATTCTTTACAGTCACTGTGTGAATTCCTCCATGGTTGGTGCAACAAACGACCTTCAGGACTAATCTCCTTAGCATAAGTACGGTACCAGTAAGATACATCTTTTGAAACTGCAACCTTCTACGCCAGGTTGATTCCGCTACTTTGCTTCATCCAAAGCATCTTTCTCGCTAGGTGATCACTGTAATCCTCCAAATAGCAACTCGTCCGGTGCTTCGCGTAACAAACAAACGAGTTCTGCACTTTTTTTTACCGGGCACTTGGTTACCAGATGGGTACCAGTAAGATACATCTTTTGAAACTGCAACCTTCTACGCCAGGTTGATTCCGCTACTTCGCTTCATCCAAAGCATCTTTCTCGCTAGGTGATCACTGTAATCCTCCAAATAGCAACTCGTCCGGTGCTTCGCGTAACAAACAAACGAGTTCTGCACTTTTTTTACCGTGCACTTGGCTTAACAGATGTGTGTAAGTCCTCCAGCAAGGAAGTTAGTCAAAGTACACAACCCAAAGTCGGCTCCCAACTCCATATTAACGTGTAATCTGCCGGCACTTGAAATCTGGAGACTTGCCACACAGATACATTTTCAGAGACAACCACGAAAGTCCAGTTTGAAGTCCGAGCATACATACACACAACGCGCGGACTCAGTTCTCGTATTTCAGTTCAGTGCCGATAACAGATGGAAATAAACCTCGATGTGCCAAACCGACAATGGTGGCATGAGACAAAGAGGAGTGGTTTAAAATATTAATCCAAAAGTTCTTGATAGCAATTTGTTGACACGATTGGACCTGGGCCTTGTCACCTAACCCCTTCGGTCCGTTCGAGCCATAATGAATGCTGGTGGATACGGAATGATCAGTCTTTCCCACGCAACGCATGTCTTTGTAAGTAAGCTATATTACTCGGTGTCCGATTGTGTTGGATTGTCCGGTTGTGTTGGATTACCGTGAAATTCAAAAGGATTTCAACGACCAGCTCATCATACATCCCAGAATATTCCCAAGTGATAATGATTTTTGCAGGTCATCCAAACTTTCTGGAGGGTGTTTAACGTAAAAACTGTTCTCTCTGGTTCCCAATAAATATGCCAGACTTCCGCCTGGACACACGCTACATGAACAAAAAGTGTGCGCTCAGGGGTCCAGCGGACCATCACTCTCAGGTCGATCAATTTATTCTCTTTGTAAAGTACAGTATTCTCCAACGAAAAGTCCCGTTAATATTTGACATTGGGAAAGGAAAACCTTCATTTATATTGCTCTCAGGTCAGTCAGCACAT